AATAATGCATATCTTTTCAAAAGGTGTGAAGGTGGCCCAAAATCGATCAAAACCATGGGCTATGCCTACAAATGGCCAAAAATGACCTATTTTGCATTCTTCATTAATAATGCATATCTCAAAAGTTGTAAAAATGGCCCAAAATCGTTCAAAAAATAGAAAAAGTTTTTTAGTTAAGGTTCTACAGTTTGCAAGTTATCATAAAAATTGGGCACAAAACAAACATAACGATGTTTTACATTGTTCTGATAAACAGAATTGAACTAAACTTTGAAAAATAATGGGATATTACCTGTTATTCTGKAAAATAAGAAATTAAAATATAGAGTCCAGAACAAAATTTGAGGGTTTTGCCCTCTTGAGGTTAAAAACATGTATGGTTCTTCAATAAAATCATGAAGATTATTCAGCAGTTTTTGAGCACATTCACATGTCAGATCAAAATAATGTTGAAAAGTAGTCAGTCACCTTAACTGTGTAAGCGTAGAAGTAAGCTAATACAATATAAATTGTCCAAGATTCTAAAGTAGTTTGCTTAATTAACAGGGATATACACCTACTTACAGGAACGTTGTCATACGAAAATAGAACATTAGTGATGATTTAGTGGGATAGGAATTATATCAAAAAACAAAAGAACTAATGTTCTATTCATGCATATGACAACCTTCTTGCAAGTAGGTGTATATTTACTAGACAAACTATTTCAGCAAAACTTAAACTTAAAATTCCATGACTTCCTTATAAACTTTGGTTTCATAATTATAGGTCTGGGTCCAATAATAAATTACATTTTTAAATCTTACACAACTGTATATATTTGTCTTGAATTCAACTATCTTTGAGGTTTACACAAATCATTATTTGAATCACAATGACTGTTTGTATGAATACTTGAAGGTGCATCATTCACACCATTCTGACCACTACTATCATGCTGCTTCAGTACATCAAGGCTTATTCCAGTAGATCTAAGACTGGCTTCATTTGTTGCAGCTAAGTTGACTTTGGGTGCCTTCCCAGCCTCTTGAGCTTCCTTCCATCTCAAGGCACAAAGGCACCAACTATCACCTGGTCGTAGTCCTGGAAAATATGGGTTGGGAGTTGATAAATCATTGCCTTTTGTTTTGGTATACTGTAGGAATTCTCTCGTCATGTTGGCACAGACCGTATGTACACCATGGTCATTCATGTCTGTCTTGCAGTATCCATCTCGGTACCAACCTAAAAGAGAGAAATTAAAATTTCATGAATCAGAATTATTATTTTATTAAGAGTTTTTTTGTCAGAGGGGGTTCCACACTAGCATAGGGGAGGGGGCACAGGACCACATGCTCCCAAAAAATTTACTTTCAAAACCATGATTTAATCAATTCATACAGGATTTCTGTGGATTTGGTGGGGAAATGATACATTGCCCCCTATTATCAAGACCACACTACTCTGGGGGTGCAAATGTGTACTAATTAAGAGTGCCAAACCCATCCACCCACCCATTATTAATTACCCTAATAACCCCATAACAGTTTGATAACCAATTGCTGAGGGCCCTTATAACATCCCAGCAGTTTTATTACCAATTACTGTACTCTACTATAATTCATATTATAATACACTAAACAAAATTACTCGATTCTGATTGGACAAGAGGAGTACAATTAAATCCCAAAATGTACTCTGCTGAGTGCTCAAGTGTATTATAAACAAAAAATCGCACGATCTTCTTGTACAATTCGAAGTTTCTTAGATACTTGTAACGTTTTGAAAGTCTTTGAATTGAACTCGCCTAAAGGCTCGTCCTTTTTGAAAACTTTCAAAATTTTCACTTGTACCCATAAATATTCCGAATAGTACTCGAGATCATGCGATTTTCTATTCTTATTCATCAAAATGGGGACAAAATAGCATGGATATATAGAGTTACGGAAAATAAAAGGAAAAAAATGGATAGAAATTGAATGAGAATTCTAACTAGACCACTCACCAGTCATAGGATCGGTAGAACAGGGTTGAAGAGGAGCTCCGAAGACATTTYTTTGATTCATATTCGAACAATCAACTGAAATAATGTTTAAAAAACAGACAGTCATGGTAAAACTAAGAGCTATAGGTAAAATCATTTTAGTAACGGAGATATTCTATCTTCTGAGGGAAAAAATCTTTGTTTTAAGTGAAGGTTATGTAACACTCTTACCTCAACTCTTGACAAGGACGCATGTGCAGTATCTGTGCAAAACATATACACCACAGGTAACCCAAGCAACTTTTTTTAAAGTTCCGGTTAAAGTTATTGATGATGAATCTTATTCGAAGGAGAATATATAATAATACATATATATTTATTCATTCATCGTCACTAAAACTAAAAACATTTTTATCGGTAGAGTCTCATCGGTAGCAGATACGTTGCCCGCTTACATCGCGCGCTCTAGGCTTCCTGTGGTAACAAAAAGTTCCCCCTCCCCACTCCCCTAGTATTTGTTTGTCATTATAGCGGTCGCCATATAATCGTAAAAACAAATCATGGCGGCAAGAAAAGCATTAATGTCAGTTGATTACGAAGTATTTGGAAGAGTTCAAGGTTTGTTTGACCTTATTAACTGTTTTTAAGCTCTCCAATTGATTTATTTTTGAAATTCTCTATTTTTTCTTTGCATTACAGGTGTATTTTTTCGCAAGGTAGGTCAGATGATGATTATTCAAAATTTAAGTTTTAAGTGCGTTTCTCATAACTTCCTTTACTGACTGTTCATCGCTGATAACACGAAGATTTACTCGTCCATATTAAAGAAGCGTTTACAAAACTCCAGTTTTTAAATCAAATAATAATCGAAGACGTATTTTGATGGTTGCGTGAGGGGTTCGAGTATAAATCTATCCGTTGTTAAAACGCCTGGAGCATTTGCAAGATGTAAATATAATGGTAAATAAGCTTACATTTTCTTGACTATTGAAAATATTCTTCTTCTAATCTTTTGCATTTTGCTCTATTCGTTAATAGCCTTGCTACAAGACATTTCAACGATCTAGGGAGCTTTAGAATCAAATATTAAAAAGTTATTTCTAATACCTATTTTTTATAAGCTTATTTTATTTATATATGACAACGTTCTTGAAATTGGGTGTTTATTTTTTTGCTTATTCTATAGTTTGATATTCAGAATCAATATCTACTCAACAGTCTCAAGACTCTAAAACATTTATTATTATTTGTTAGGCATATCAGAAGATGTTATAATTTGTCTTTGAGAATATATGGTTGCCATAGAAGCAGCACTTAAAAGAGACATTAAATGTATGAATAATCAAGGAAAAAAGTTTATCTTCAAAATCACTTATGTGAACAGTGTAGTACTATGGTTGCAGTATTTTTGTATGTTGTCTTCTCTTTTCAAAGATATATTTGAAATAACAATATACAAATGAGAAGACATAAATTCCAGAATGTGTTACATTTTGCAGTGTGATTTACGACAAGTGTTCTGAAGTGAAATGACCCGAAATTGTACAAAGCCATGTTAATGAAAACACAGCAGTACTTTCCACAACAGCATTTTTGTATAATAAAGTAGTCTTGAATTTACATCTAATTTCCATATTGATATTTTAATTGTTTATATCTCCGAAAAGAAAATTTCACATATGAAAATACTAACTGCAACAAGGAGACAATGAGATACGAAAAGAACTAATTTTTTTCCAGAGGTGTGGGGTGGAGTTCAGAGAAAGAACAAAATTATTCATGAAGAATAGGGGATTGTCTCCCAGTTCAACTGCCTATCCCAATCTAGAGGCATAATACTAACATACTAACAAATCACTCATGATTGTAAGCTGCACGGCTGCTACTAGCAACTTAATATGCAGCTCGTAAAGTCCTCCACTGATCTTGTAAAGAGCCATTGAGCTCCTGGAAATGGCGCTATATAAATTCATCCTTTATTTATTATTTTATTATTGTTATGTGCAATATATTTTAAGCAATTAACTTTTTTTTAGTATACATGGAAAAAAGCACTGGAGCTAAAGCTTGTTGGTTGGGTGAAAAACACAAAGAAAAATACTGTAGTGGGTCAAGTACAGGGAGAAAAAAGTAATGTAGAAAGAATGTAAGTGCCTGCATGGATGAGGTAATATGATATTTCAAATATAATGCATGGCTAAATTGGCTGGTTTGAGATAACATGCATGCTGATTGGCTGGCTACCATATCTTTATTAGAGGACAGACACACTTGAGCAAAATCATTCGGAAATATTTTATAAATTTTAAGTAATATGTACGGTATGAGTGGTCGTGTTGTATCAGATATACAAACTCGAGGCATAGCAGGTCGTGATTTCTGTTGTGTTTTCCTCATGAATTATTAATGAATTTGACAAGTAATATAAACAATATGAGTGGCCATGTTGTATACCATAGATGAACTCGAAGGCGTACGACCACTCATATTGTATATTGCTTAACAAACATCTAGCTTAGTTCCTTTGTGTTTCACTAAAATTTTCATAATAAAATTGACTCTGCCCAAGAAAATCCAAGTTTATGCAAATGAACGTGATTCTATATTAGAATTATAAACCCTTTCATGGTGCAGAAACATTCTGAATGCCATGGACTGTTCCTAAGAATATATATATAAGTTTGGGGACGACACATTTTCAATGCTTAATTAAACTAAATCATACGATTAATAGCCTTTCTTATAACCTATCAATACGTTTTTTCCACAGGAAGGAATGGCTTACTAGAACTGGAAGTCCCTCTTCAAGAATAGAAAGATGTGTTTTTTCAAATGAAATTAATATACCAACTTTAAATTTCAAGTCATTTGAAATTGTCAGGAAATAGTTCCGAAGTCAGAAATAGAAAAAAAGACAAAAAATATACCAAAGAAAATTACAGTAATTTTTTTTGCAAACTTATTTTTCTTTCCATTCAAATTCATTTATATCTACGAAATTCTAAATTATTCAAACGTTTATATAGGTTTATTATGTTGCATGCTTTATAAAAGGAGGCTAAAGTACTAGCAAAAAATTCTGCCAATTTTTAATTTCAATTTTTTTTATGGGAAGCATGTTTGGGTGGCGTAGCAGTGAAAGTGCTCACCTCTCACCAATGCGACCCAGGTTCGAGTCCTGCAGGGCTCGGTGTCATATGCTATGTGAATAGAGTTGTTTAATGCTGGTTTTCTTCTGTGCTTCAAAGGTTCCGATTCTACTTCCAGTTTTCCTCCCCAAGCAAAAATCAGCATCTAAATTCCAAATGGAATTTCAGTGGATGAAGAGCCACTCTGGAAATGCTTCTGCTAAATCCTATTCATTTTACTTTATTATCTCTTTATTTAAATCAGAGAAATAACTTTTATAATATAGTTCAAGGAAGCCTGACTGCAACCAATCAATTTTCATGTTTAATGATAATAATAAGTATTAATATCAGATCTGTTATTGACATTATTGTGTGTTATTCTTATTATTAATTTCAAGTTTACTAATTTAAAATATCATGATTTTTGGACATTTATACCCATACATATCACTATGAGGCCAAACGATTGTTTTTTCATAGCTCTAATTGTTTTTACACTGTTTAAGTTTACTTGAGCTTTACTGTTCAATAAATATAACTTGATAAACCATTGCAGTCCCAGCTAATAGCTGTTAGTCATTATTGATTTTTAAAATCTATTTTTATCTACACTATGAATTCCTTTTTCCTTGCTTTTTGTTTATTCCCTTTCTTCTGATTTATATCTGTACCTTTGATTCAGTAGTATAATGTTGCCACATTCACAATATATTTGATGTACAGATTCCAAATCTATTATTTGTCACTAACTGGAAGGAACTCGGGAAAGAATCTGAGTCCCTGATCTAGGAATCTAACGCATGACCATCCAGATAGATACTAGTCGGATGCTTGAACCACTGAGCTACAGAAAAGAATCATAATAGGCGATCATTTATACAGCCTGCACACTGCATGGCTCAAGAGATTGTTGATGTAGTATCTAGATATTTTATGTATCATTATTGTCTTAAGTTAAAATTACAGTAAAAGATACAATAACATAATCATTGTCATGCAGTAAGGTGTTGGTAGGATGTCAGTGGAGTGTCATGCAGTAAGGTGTTGGTAGTATGTCAGTGGAGTGTCATGCAGTA